CCCTCTCTCTCTCCCAAGAATGGACTCTTGAAGAATGAAAAAAGGTTATTTCTTTAAATTGATAAACACAAAGTCTTTATTTATTTATTTATTTTTATATGGTGCTGAGGATTAAACCCAGTGCCTCACATGTGCTAGTAAGTGCTCTACCACTGAGCTACCCCAGCCCTGAAAAAAACAAAAATATAATAATTCAAATTTACTAAGCTATTGGGGAAAAAATAAAGCATAGAAAATTTGTAATAACAATTTATTTGTCTTCTGCTCTCTTTAGGATCTCTTTTAGTTCTCCTCATTATTTTTAGAAGGCTGTTGACATGGTACAAGATATTTTGCTCATACATTTAAAGAAATATATCACTAAGCATTTCTTCTCTTCTACTTATTAAGCAAAATTTTTAAACTTTTCTTATACATGTTTTTGTTATGGTTTTGATCTAGATTGTTCCCCAAAGCTTGGTTCCCAGTATAGCAGTGTTCATAAATGGGACACTTGGGACTGGATCATGAAGGCTCTGACCTCATCTGTAGATTAATCCATTGAGTAATTCAGAATTTGAATGTACTATTTAGAAGTGGTAGGAAGTGGGGCTGGGGTGGTGGCTCAGTGGTAGAGCACTTGCCTAGCATGTGTGAGGCACTGGGTTCAATTCTCAGCACTGCATATAAATAAATAAGAAGTGGTAGAAAGCACAGAACCTAGTAGAAGAGAGTGGATCCTTGGGGGCATGCCCTTGGGAACTATATCTTGTCCCTGGCTTCTCTCTCTCTCTCTCTCTCTCTCTCTCTCTCTCTCACACACACACACACACACACACACACACACAAACTCTCTGGCACCCTCCGGTTCCAGGCTGCCATGAGCTAAGAAGCTTCCTTTGCCTTGTTCTTCTGTCATAATATTCTGCCTTACCTCAGCCCCAGCCCCAGCCGGGGATATAGCTTAATTGATAGAGTGCTTGCCTCACATGTACAAGACTCTGGGTTCAATCCCCAACACCACCACCAAAAAACAAACAAAAAACAAACAAACAAACAAAAAACAAGCAAAATAAACTTTTCCTGCTTTAAGTTGTTTTATGTCAGGTGTTTAGGTCACAATGATGAAAAGCTGACTAACACATTTCTACTGTTCAACCTCCTTTCTACATCTATCAGTAAAAATCCTGGATCTTAAAACACTAAGAACCAGTATTTCATTTCCCCCATTGGGCATTTCTAAATCATGATTAGATTTGTTCCCAAAAGTCATTTGTACATATAATAGTAGAGCAAAGTATAACATATTAGATAATTTGCCTTATTAGGCTATGAATCCATTTTTCATTTGAACTACAACTTTTAGCTCTACTTCAATCAAGTATAAAAATTGTGCTTGCAATTTTCAATTCTGATTTTCTACCCTGGACATAAGGAACCTATGGCTTTCTGGTTTCATAGGAGAATTAATGATACCCTCAAGCTGGTGCTATAGGTATTATAGAAGATATGGGCAGGTGAGGAACATCTCTAGAGGCCAGCCTTCTGCAGCATATTTGGATCTTAGGGTTATTATTACCCTTGAGCTTCTCCATTGGCTCTGCCTCATTATACACCAAACCTTCTCCTTCCATGTTTTTGCTTTTTCTGTTCTCATTCTTTTGCTTCTCTCAAAGTGGGATCTTCCATCTTCTAAGGACCAACCCAAGACCAACTTTCTCCAAAAAAAACCTACTTTTCTACTACCCCATCCACACTTTATCTTTCCAGGACTTCAAACTCCTCCAGAATCTAAGTGTTACCTATGCCAGTACATCCAGGCTTCCTCATCTAATTACTTCACCTAATGTGCCAGAACTTCAGTGCCATAACCACAGAAAGCATCTAACTAGCTCTGAAGAAGAATACAAATCCTCTAGATAACTCATATAACTTCATGTAGATCAAGGTAGCCTAATGGAAGGTCACAAACTTTGGACTCATACAGGCCAGGGTTCAAATCAGGCCCTATCATCTCCTCTCCATGTGACCTTTGGGAGTTTGCTTAGTTTCTTTGTAAGACTTGGGGGTCTTAATCTGATGATATACAGGATGACAGAATCCCCCAGGAAGGGATATGAGAATTCAATGAGAAGTACACAAAGGGCTTTTGTATACTGAGTACTGAATAAAGGGTAGCTGTCACTAGGAATTACATGACCACAAAAATTCGTGAGCAGTTCCTTCATTCACGTCTTGCCTTAGATTAGAATATAATTAGAAACTATTCAAGCTGAAATATTAAAAAAAAAAACTTTAAAAGTCCCATGTCTCCTGAGTAATATGTTTAGAATCTAATCACCTTAATTCACAAAAAAAGTTGTGCATTTAACAAATTTCTCAAAATATATATGTATTCTGAATCCTTAAGTCTTGCATGAAAATTTATAGTCAAATAAAGAATCTATGATAGAATTCTAATTAGTGGTCTCTTTACATACATTAATTTCTATAAATGTTTTAAACAACACTGGAATCCAGCAATATCTAGAAATTAGATCTGGTATGGATGCAGGGTTCATTTAAGCAGAACAAATTTGAATCATTTGTTAAATAAATATTTAAAGAATACTAGCCACTTATCAGGTTTTCTTTCAGACACTTGGAAAACCCCGGTGAACAAAACAGAAATTTCAGTTGGATATAAACAACAGACATAGCAGTTCCCTAGTCTCAGTCTATTGATTCAGTAGAAGATGGACACTGAAAATCTTATTTCAGTTAAACACAGGAAAGTGGTGGAAAGGGGCAAAAGCAATAGAGCAAGGGAGAGATCAGGAGACTGCAGGTATGTGTATGTGTATGAGGAGTGGACCCAGAGGCTCCTCAGGAGGAAAACCCCCTGCACATGGAAAGGGAACAGAAAAGGGGAGAAGAGGGTCCATTTTCCATGGCATTGGACCACAACTCATTCTCTAACTCTCTCCTCAAATCCTTTCTCACTCTCCTCTTCTACATCCACAATGATTTACAATCTATGCAGAAAGGGCGATACCCCTGAAACTGACACAACTGTACCCCTCATTCTTGTTTATCTCCTTCAGGATTGTTTATCCTCCTTCAGGATTTTACCTTTAGTGCTGTTCTAATGGTTCTAATGAAAAAGATTTCACTGATCAACTATATACAAATGTATGTGCTTGTTATCTCAAATGGCAAAACAAAAGTGACAGGCCACAGTCTAGGAGGCCAAACAGGGAAGTCTCAGTCTCAGTTCTATGCTGCAGCTCTATGATCTTGGGCAGGTCACTTGTATCTGGAAACTGTTTTTCACTTGACAATTCCTGTGCTCCTCACTGCTGTCCTATTCTACCAAATGTTCATTATGTACCTAGAAAGGTTCCCTTGATGCACATTCACACACAAACACATGCACACATATATTGTGATGGGTATAAAATAATTTTTATTATGTACATATATGTGATTATCACAAGCATGTGATTATATACATATTTACATCAAAAGGGTATGGAAAGATATAAAGTATAATTTAAAATGATTTTCTCTGGAGGCAAGGAGGGATGAGGAAGCATTAAGCTGGGATATGCAAATTTTGCTCTATACAGGTCCACAAAGTCATTTTTTTTTTTTTTTTTGCTAAAGCAAGAAGTAATATTTAAGTAATTTAAGGGGAAATGTTTCTTGATTTCTCTCCTCAGCTTCTTAAAACTGGAGATCCAGAGTGGAAAAACATAATATTTAAGTGTAGTTATCTCTTGAGAAGGGAGATGGATATGGAGAACATATGGAAGTTTCTTAAGTGTTGGTAATTTTCAGTCCCCTTATAAGATGGGTATCAGGTCCTTCAGTACTTGTTACTACTTTGCTTTAAAACACACAGACACACACACAGACACACACACACACAGACACACACACACACACACACCTTCTTAAGACATGTTTGCTATATTTCATAATAAAAATGTAAAAATTCCCCAAATGGGGAACATCCACCCATGTACCTTAACCTTATCCCTTTCTTCAGGTGGATTTTGATAAGAGTCAAATACTAATTTGCAAATGTAATCAGTGGAATACCTTCTTTGGGCTTCTAAAAGATCCTGAGCAATCCGTCTTTCTTCTTCCCTGGCTTTCTCCACAGCCTCCATCTTCTCCCTGTGGCACTCCATCATAATTCTTTGGATTCTGTGCACCATGCGTTGTTCTGCAGCCATGTTTTCTCTCTTCATTTCGTCATTCATGTTTCGAAACATTTCTGTCTTGGTTTTAGCTTCCATGTCCTTAAGCAATAGGAATGCTTGGTTTAGATGTTACAGCCTTGATGTTTTAAAATATTTTAACTTTTGTTTTGTGTGTGTGTGTGTTTTAAAGTGCTAGGGATTAAACAGGGTTCTCACACAAGTTAAAAAAGTGTTCTACCTCTGAGTTATAATCCCCAATCCCTTAAAACGAATCCTAAGAGGTAATCTAAATTATAGATTCATCCACCTGAAGAAGTGTGCACCTGATAACACTGATAATTTAAAAGAATATTGTGCATGATATGTAAAACTTTCATTTATGTGATGTTAAATAAAATCAGGAAACTATAAACTATGTACATAGATACATATACTGTGAACATATTGAAATGGAATATGCAAAAAGGGAGGGTGACAATAAAGGTCTTTTTTTCTTAATTGTCATATTATCATTATAACTTTTTAGAAAGACAATATACAATTCTGCTTTAGTAAGTCCTGGGAAATGGTGCAGTAATTATCATACTCAGTAACTTCTGTGTAGGAGAGAACATGAGACTCAAGCAGAAAACAGTGGTACATTACTGCAGTCAAAGGAACCTGCCTTCCAGTCCCCATTGCTGTTGGAATATTCAAGCTCATTTGTGTTGGGAGGTACTTTCTCTTTCATAAAGGAGACAGAAACAAGTGTTTCACTGCTCTGTGGTTAGGAGAACCTGTGAATGGCTTTCAGACAAACAAAGAAAGGAAGCACTAGTCAAACCAAGATTTGTGGGGGAAAAAATAAAACCTCATATATAGTTGTAAAGGAAAATTCTGTTAGTAGACATTTTAGAAATGTGGCTGAATATTATGGTTTGGATATGAGGTCTCCCCAAAAATTACTGTATTAATTCAGGAATATTCAGAGGTAAAATGATTGGATTGTGAGAGCTGTAACCTAAAGAGTCCATACTTGTTTGAATGGACTGACTGGATGGTAACTATAGGCAGGTAGAATGTGGATGGAGGAGATGGGGGCAGGTAGGGTATGTCCTGGAAATGTACAGCTTCTCGGCAGTCCCTACATTCTCTTTCTTTCTGCTTCTTGGCCCCACCAAAAACTGAACAGCTTTCCTTGGGTCCTTCTCCTAAAGATGTGTTGCCTCACTTAAGGCCAACAACAATGGAGTCAGCCATCTATGGACTGAGACCTCTGAAACTGTGTGCCCCAAATAAACTTTTCCTCCTCTAAGTTGTTCTTGTCAGGTATTCTGGTTACAGTGATGAAAAGCTGAGTAAAACACTTGTTCTCAGAGTATTCACTATCAGTGGAAGAGACCAACAAACTAATTTTGCAATGAGTCTTGTAGTAGGAATACATGCAAGAAAGGAGCAGTTGGTTCTGTCCAAGAGTTTCAAAACTTTCATTTAATGGTAAACTTTTATCTCTACTTTAGGGAAGATATCAAGAGAACATAAATAAAGTTATTTCACACAAGTCAGTGGAAGAATTAGGAATGAAAACCAAGGTTCTCAATGACCAGTTTCTCCCTTGCTGGTTATATTGGACTTTTTCAAGAAATTTATCCATTTATTCATTCCAGAAACACTGCAAAATCTTATGATATAGTAGCCTCCCTGTCTCCACCTGCCTATCTGGCCACCTGCCTTCTTTCCTTCTTCACTTTTCTTTACTGCAGAATATCTTCTTCAAATGAAATATCACCCAAAGTTGAAAGGAATAAAACCAATAAAGTTTTCCTGGTTCAATTTTGCCTAACACCCTTCAAAACACTTTCTGTGGGGGGCTCCTAGGAAGCTGGTTCCATTACCATGTATCCAGACAGAATCCTCAGCAGAAGTTGAAAGTTTTCAGAAAAATGAAATTCCTCTTAGTTTATGAGAAAAATATTTTAACAATTAAAATATTTGTTAGACAACAGCTTTTTCAAGAAAAGAAAAGTTTTCAACTTCTTACTTTGGCTACTCCAATGGTGAATATTTTTAAGAGATAAGAAAAACCAACTTGAAGAATTTCTCCTAATGGCCTTAATTGATGGATTTGAAAAATGTTTATAGGGAAATATTGGCCACTTAGGAATGTAAGCTACATTTTCTATATAGCAAAAGGCTTTGTCTCTAAAACTGCTTGAAAATTAAATATTTTGAGTGAAAATGTCTTTAACCACTCAGTTTACCTCATAAAAAGACTATAATAAAACACTAATGTTTTCTTGGTCATCTGGGCTCAGTAGACAAAGATGAATGATTGTACTAGGGTAAAAATTTCATATGGTACTGAATAATTGTTCAAGTTCACAGAGCCATTTGTCTCTGCCATAAATGACTTCAGAATGAACTGCTGTTTGAGACTTGATAAATGCTCTTTGTAATTTTTCTTACTCTTCTCATGCCTCCTTGGGTTGAGGACTGTCTGTTCTAACTACTATCAGTGAGCCCCCTTTTGTCTAGTTTCCAGCATTTAATCTATTTTGGGTTTAAAATAGCAAACCACCAAGGTTGTTGGATTCAGGATGTCAAGTAAGTATAATGACATCTTGACATCTGAATGAGGATGGAGGAGTTCTACTACGGGAAATAAGCCTGAGTTTTCTCTTGTTGTTAGGGGTGTTATTAAACTCTGGAGGATATCTTATTTCTGTGTTTTCAAGAAAAAAATACATATATACATATATATTATTTTTTTTGATACCAGGGATTGAACTCAGGGGTACTTGACCACTGAGCCACATCCCTGACCCTATTTTGTATTTTATTTAGTTTTGTGGTATGGAGGATTGAGCCTAGGGCTTGTGCATGCAAGGCAAGCACTCTACCAACTAAGCTATATCCCTCCAGCCCTTAAGTATATTTTCAGTAATTGAGACTAGAAGATGGTAGAGCTTTAAATAGGTGAGCTATCATATTACCATAACATATTTCTCCTTAAATAACTGAATTTAAAAAAATAACATCTCAGCCCTTTATTTTGGCTGAGTTCTGAACTAGGATTTGGAAAATTAAGCCTCAGTCTCTCTTTTATGTAATGACCTAGAAAAATCCAAATCATTGTCAGTGAGCCCCCTTTTGTCTAGTTTCCAGCATTTAATCTATTTGCTACTGCCTCACTTAGCGTATAAAGTACATATATGTACTATTGTTTCATTCAGCAACCTATTGTTTGACAGTGTTCTTATCCAGTGTAAGATTTCCGGATAAAACTGCTTTTACTGAAATATATCTTGAATGAGTCAGCCCACATTTTGAAGATATAGAAAACAAACTTCATGAATCCCATTGTGTTTACTGTACAAATATCTGTTTATGTACAAATATCTGACAAGCATTTTTACACAGTATCTCTCAGAAACTTCCTCAGGTTTTATGACAATGAATATCTGGGTCTCTCTTGAGTGTCTGATTTGTTTTTACCTTATGGACATGGTGGTCCATGGCATTTTCCTATGTGAACTGGGCATGGGTAGTGAGATGTTGCAGCCACCCCTAAAAGACCTTGCCAAGACTGGTGGTATTGGGCCACTGGAGCCAAGCAGAGACCATTCTAGTATTAGAACCCAGGGGAAGAGCTCTCTTCTCTGTTAGTCCCCTGAGGGCAAGGACAGTCCATTTAATCTCAACTAGTACAGAGATAACATTTGGTAGATGCTCACTGTCAGATCAATGAATACATGGGCCCACAGACCTTGAACTGTTCATTAGTTATGGTTTTTCTTTTTTTTTTTTTGGTGTGTGTGGGGGGGACCAGGGGTTGAACTCAGGGGCACTTGACCACTGAGCCACATCCCCAGCTCTATTTTGTATTTTATTTAGATGGAGTCAGGGTCTCACTAAGTTGCTTAGCACCTCACTTTTGGCTGAAACTGGCTTTGAACTTGCAATCCTCCTGTTTCAGTAATCCCAAATTACTGGGATTACAGGCGTGCACCATTGTACCAGGGTTAGCTATAGTTCTTATTAAGTTAGTCCATACCTAGGGCTAGGTCTCTGCCACTTTCCTCCAGCTTCTGCCCATGCACCTTGTCCTTCTTTGTTTCTCCCTTGGCCAAATGTGAAAATATTTCTACATTCATATCAGATGTAAAGCGGATACAGAACTAAATAATGAATCCCAGGACCTCTGCCTGGAAAGTTTACTAGTTATTTAGAATCATGTGTTTGAACAGATTGCAGGTTAAAAAAGAGTTCCTTTTAGGCAGCAGAATAGACAATATGATCGATGTATGTACATTCCTTGTATGTATTATATATCAAAATGCATTCTACTGTCATGTATGACTAAAAATAAATAAATAAAAATTTTTTAAAAAAAGAATTCCTTCTCATCTTGTAATGACAGATTAGTGGGACCCCAATAGACCTCAATGAAAAACCAGCCTCTACCTCAGAGCAAAGCCTGTCCAAGGAAGGGGGCGTGACCCTTGTCCTTGGAAAGACCCACAGAGCACTCCTAGGCATATACCCACCCAGTTGAGTTGTTTATCTACAAATAAAAGGAGAGATCTGCTGTGCCAGGAGTTCTGACTCAGTCAGCCTAGGTGGGGACCCATAGCAACCCACTAGCAGCCACAAATCAGCATGAGACCAGGAAAATACCTGGGATGCCAGATGATCCTCCCAGTAGTTTATGATGGTTGATAACGGGTTGGGAAACCTTTAGCACGAACACCCCTCTTGGCTTAAACCAATCAGTTCAAACGAATCCCTCTTTTGTACTAATCAATCACCCTTACCCAACTTGTTCCTGCCAGTGAATGTGCTAATCATGTTTTAGAGTTGTTTTATGATTTTCCCGTGGTGTGTGATGATTTGCTAAGAGATGCTATGATGTATGTAGGGTCCCTGCCTTCCCCAAAGAGTGTATGAAACTGTTGCAAATCCTGGGTTCAGGGCCTCTCAGCATCACCAGTTGCTGTGTGTGCGTGGAGGACGGAGCTAGCTCGCAATAAACACCTCTTTGCTGCTTACATTGATCTTGGTCTCTGGTGGTCTTTTGGGGGTCCCGAATTCAAGCATAATACTCCAGGAGCTGAATCTGATGCAATCACACAAGAGTCTTTATTGCAAGCTCGAGCCTGGACTCACAACCATTTCTGACACAGTGATCCTGAGGAATGAATCCTGACCCTTAGTTCAGTGAGGATTTATAGGTTTTGGGGAGGATACAGAAAATCATTTCACACCACGGGAAAATCAAACAACAACTCTTAACATTGATTAGCACATTCATTGGCGGGAACAAGTGAGTAAGGGTGATTGGTTAATTCACCAATATATTTGAACTGATTGGTTTAGGTTGCGAGGGGTTGCAAGAGTGTATATGCTAAACTTGCAGGGTTGCCTAGCCTTATTATCAATCACCAAAACTATTGGGAGGGCCCTTGGTATTTCAGGTATCTTCCCTGTCTCAGTCTGATTGGTTGTTGCTATGGTCCTAATTAGGCCTCAGGCATTCTTTTGGTCTTTTTCAGGAACTTGCATTTGCTGAGTCAAGGACATCTGGTACAATAAATGACTCAGGAAGGTAGCTATGTGCTTAGGTTTTCCAAGGACAAGGGTCACCCCTCCCGCTTTGGACAGGCCCTGCTGAGGTAGAGGCTGGTTTTTAAAAAATGGAGTCACATTAGTTTCTCAATCTTGTGACTGCTGTTCTTATAGAAAATACTTCAGAGACAACTCAGATGTCTGTTGGGGTGAACACTAATCAGTGCCTAGGAAAGCTGACAGTGACTCTAAGGAATATGATAATGAAGGAAATGGAGAGGAGAAGCTGGCCACTTCTCTTATCTCCCTAATCTTTTTTTGTGTGTGTGCTGGGGATTAAACCCAGGGCTTTGTGCTGGTGAGGTAAGCACGCTTCCTACTGAGCTATATCCTCAGCCCCTTATCTCCAATCTTTAGGTAAGGATCAACACAGGATGACCTTAGTTGTAAAGTAAAAGAATATACTTGCAAAACATTTGAAGAGGGCTGGGGTTGTGCCTCAGTAGTAATGCACTTGCCTGGCATGTGTGAGGCACTGGGTTCGAGTCTCAGCATATATAAATACATAAAATAAAGGTCTACCAACAACTAAAAAAAAAAGTCTTTAAAAAAATCTGAAGAAATCCACCTATACAGTTGGCATGCAACCTACTGTATACATTCCCTCTACTTGTAGGGATGGTGCAGCATTCAACAATACCCTGGTCTGCTACCACTGAGGAGTATGTAAGTTATAAAATGTTCAAACCTCTCTGTTGAGTCCTCTAAGTTCTTTGGGATCAGTAAACAGTACACTGGGGCATTTGCAGCCCTGGGCTGAACCATGTCCCTCTTAGCAGTATAGCACATGCAAATTTAGGAAAAAGTAAGTCCAGGAGAAAGAACAGAATAGCCTGTTGCATTCATTCAGTGCTATAGAGTTTTCCTTCACATATATATCACTGCTCCATAGAACTCAGCATCTCTTCTGTGAATCTTCAGGGCTTCTCTCCATAATTCTATGAAGCACCACACAGACTTTACATATTAAGGTATTTGCTCTCATTCTTTTGTCAACTTAAGTAATTTTTTTTTTTACTAACTTCAGCATTTCTTTTTTTTTTAGTGCTCTTTCCAGTCAATTACAAATATATCACATTAAGATATAATTTTATGCTACTATTTTATAAATATCTGCACCCTTATAAAATGCCAAAATAGTAAACATAAGTAAGGTTGAGCTATCGTTTGATTTTTTTTTTTTTTTGGTCACTTCAGCATTTCTTAAAAGACAACAACAAAACCACTCTAACAAACCTGTAAATCTTTCTGATGTTTCTCTTCCAGAACCTGAATTTCAAATTTATGTTTGGCAGTTAGATCTTCAAATACTTTATCCACTGCTTGTTTTTGGAGTTCATTAGCCTTTGAAAGAAATAGTCCAATTATTTATTAATACCTCAGGATGAAAATAGGGCAAACTATCACTATATGGGATGCTGGTCAATCTGATTTTCACGTTTACTAAAAATTAGCAACACCATGGGGCCCTATTACTTACTCTATTCCCATTTCAAAACTTCCCATAGTGCCCTGGCTATCTTCACTAGAGATCCTAACACATTCCAATACTACAGCTTTATTGTATATATGCTGCTGCACTGTCTTTTCTCCTTGGCACTCTATTTCTTACTTGCTTAATTAGCAAAGTAACTTATGCTTATCATAGAAAATGTGGGAACAGAGACCAGACATGCAAAGCTACAAGCTGAGTAGGGAGACTAAATATTATCCAGATCCCCTGCTTCAGGGGTTCAGAAAGAAGTTTTGTTAGTATTTTTGAACAGAATATCCAGACAACTAGATAAACTTATTTTCAAACTGTAGACTATTTACAAAAGCATCTACTTATATTAGAATGCATAAGTAACTGATGACTAATAATCAATTCAAATTTTATTACTAGTAAAAAAATAGACAAGTACTTAAATTTTGATATGTTACTCTTTGCATTACTTTTTTATGTTCAAAAATATATTCATTCAAAACTTTTGCTGACACTAATATTGGGCAATTCTAATACTATTAGCTATAATGTCTATTTTATGGAGAAATCAAAAAATAATATTCTAAGAATTGTGATTTGTTTTGTCCCCAAGGAGTTTTAACTCTCTTTAAGAAGTCACGTATGTTATTCTACCTATGACTTGAAGAAGTGGGGGCTGCACTGTTCAATTACCTCTGTGAGTCCCAACATTCAAACTGCCTCTATAATACTCAGCAATCATATGAACGAGGTATCAAGAATTTGGGGTTTCATTTGTTTAAGATAGGGGTCTCAATTTTGTTGCCCATGCTGGTCTCGAACTTGTGAGCTCAAGCAATTCTCCCACCTCGGCCTCATAGATAGGTAGGACTACTGGCCTGGCAGTATGAAGATTTTTCTCTTGATGAAGAAGAGTAGGCCAAGATGAACCATTTGAAAAAAATGGACATTATTTCAGGTGTTTTGTACACCACACAAAAGGATGATATATATTAAATGTAAGACCATAATAATCACTTTACAAGTATTCCCTTTTCCTCTTGAGGTTTAAACAAATGATAATAAAGAAAGCAGGAGTCATCCACACAAAGAGGAAGCTTCTGATAGGGCCCTCTTCTTATAAAGCACCCACATGTGTGCTAGGCACATTATTTCATTGAGCCCTCATTCCTATAGAATAGGCATTGTTATTATCTCTCTTTTATTTATGAAGAAGCCAAGTTGAAGAACTTGCCTAAGTTCCCATAGCTAGCCAGGACTCAGGCCTTTCTAGCTGACTCTGTAGACTATGTTCTTGCCTACTGAGCTATATAGTATTGTTTCAGACAATTCTGAAAAGAATTACCTTTCTGCCAAAGACTATTGAAAGGTTAATAAAATAGGTACTTGTCACTCCGTTTTTCTATATGCTTAACAAAACACTGTTAAAATCCTGAGAACTGTTTTTGCTAATCTTGTTCCCAGAATGTGCTGTCCCCAACTGCCAAGCTGCAGAATGTACTCCCTCACTGGGTTGCAGGCAAGCTGCCCACTCACCCTGACCTGTCAATGAACTTCCCTCCCTGCCCTCTCCAAGAAAAGTATATAAGTTCTGCTCAAGCTGTTCTCAGGGCTCTCTCTCTCTTTGCTATAGAGAGAGCCCTAGCATGCTGGTCTCCAAATAAACCCACCCTTCTGCTGTTGCATAAGACAGTCTCTTGTGGTCTCTTACTCCGACGTTTCGCCGGACCCTTACATTATAAAGATGTATTTTAGGTTGATTTCTACTTCTTTTACCTGATTCCATACTTTAGCTTCTGCTTTTACAATCCTTTCTTTGAATGAGATCTCTTGATACCTCTCTTCTTTATTCAGAATATCTGCCCCAATATCTGTGTATTTAAAGAGAAATGATCATAAATCTCCATAGATTGTTTCCTGGATTTCCCTTCCATCATTATCTAGTTATTTATGTGGGCCATCTAGGAGTTATAGCCTTTTAGGAGAAGTCAATTCTGTGTGTGTGTGTGTGTGTGTGTGCGCGCCCGCGTGCGTGCGCTATTAAATCCAGCATGCTAAGCATATGCTCTACCACTAAGCTACACCCCTAGCCAACATTTTTTTAAAGTATTAATCATAGATTTTTAAAAATTTTTAATTGAATTTTAAAAAAATAAATGACAGCAGAATGCATTACATTTTTTATTACACATATAGAGCATAATTTTTCATATTTCTGGTATATAAAGTATGTTCACACCAATTCATGTCTTCATACATGTACTTTGGATAATAATGCCTATCACATTTCTCCATCCTTGCTAACCTCCTGCTCCTTCCCTTCCCCTTCCACTCCTGACCTATCTAGAGTTAGTCTTTTCCTACCATGCTTCCCCTCCCTACCCCACTATGAGTCAGTCACCTTATATCAGAGAAAACATTCAGCATTTATTTTTATTTTTTTGATTGGCTAAATTCACTGAGCATTATTTTCTCCAACGCCATCCATTTACCTGCAAATGTCATGATTTTATTCTCTTTTATTGCTGAATAATATTCCATTGTGTATATATGCCACATTATTTTTTTATCCATTCATCTACCGAAGGTATCTAGGTTGGTTCCACAGTTTAGCTATTGTGAATTGTACTGCTATAAACATTGATGTTGCTGCCAACAACATTTTCTTTAAAGATTCCTATTGAGGGGGTAAGTTTTTCCCTAACTGATCAGGAGAGAACTCAGCACTATTAGGCCTAAATAGATAGTCATTCCCCTCATCATGCCCAGACCACACAGTAGGCAACTAGGGAAGCAAAGTGAAATAAATGCCTATTGAAAAGGCATATTTTTACAAAGTAGAATGGTGAATGAATATCCAAAATATATTAGTATATTAGTACATTTTCAACTCCTCTCTCCTTGATCCTATCTGGGTACTGGTGCTATTTCCATCAGGAGAGTAGAAGCCGAATGTCTTCCTTACATTATATACATGCCTTTCTTCAGTGTGGAGTGAGCTAAGGAGTGGTTTATTATTTCTCTTTCAATGATCTAACTTTATTTCCAAATAATAAAAACCCCAAAATAATACCCTTTCTACCCAGAAAGTCTAGGGGTTAGAGAACATGTAATATCAGATAGGTAAGAACAGAGCTGGCCCTGGAGCATGAGTCCTTCAAGCTGGTCACAGGGTTTGCCCACTTTCTCACAACTGAGTGATTGTGAGAGGCGGCCCACAAGCTGTTACAGGAGTAATAACCTTTGGGTGCTGAAATTGTACATAGTGATTTTTCTTTCTGAATTCTTATAGTACTTACTCTTCATTCCATTCATTCTCACATCTTAGATTAGTTGAATTACTAACTTTTCATGTGATTATGTTTTGATGATCAGCCTCCTAAAATTACAAAACACACTTTATAGTGCATTGTATCTCTTGTGGTGCCTAGCTTGGCAATACAAGTAGACATGTGTGTTTATCTGCTTAGCACCTCTTCTCTCCCTCTGGTAATAGGACCCACTTCTCTCAAGAAATTCCCTCCCTCACTTGAGATCATTCCGGTAAAACTGCCAATTGCAGCATCCAAACTTCTGGTCTTCCACCCCTCTCTAGGTCAGAAAAAATAGCCCAGGATTGAGCATGTGCTGAAGCCTGGCTATCTATGCTCTCCTCTAAGACTTCATATAAGGATTTAAGGAGAACATATCTCTTTTCCCTCTGAGATTTCTAAGATGGAGATAACAGATACTTAAAGCTATTTGAGTCCACCCCCTCCTTTCCCAGGTGCATAAGCCTGGCTGCAGTAGTAAACAATTAAGCCAACTCACTAAGAAAGTAAGCATGGCAGATTGAAAGCCTAAAGTCAAGTTTCTCTATCAAAGGGTCAAGAATTTCATTTTATTCAGTATAATCTAAGTTGTGTTTCTGTCACTGGCAACTGAAAATGCATGTGTGGAAATATAGTCTTCGCCACTAGGTCATCAGTGAGTTTTAAAACATAGGGCAAATACTATATGGTAGAGATGGACACACTATGAAAAATCTCAACACTGTGTAGCTACAGTTATGAAAGACCTAGGAAGAAAAGTGACTAAGTGTGGACCACTAAAGTGTGAAATTTCATAAAAATGCGATACAAATGTAGGCTGCTATTACCTTTTTTAATCCTTAAATTTCCTTACTTTATATTTGTTATTCTCATACAATAGGTTACCTGAAGAGCTTTTTAATAATGCATATGCTGAGAAACTGCATACAAACAACTTGTATGAATCTAAAAATCATTATGTTGAGTGAAAAAAGTCAATTTCAAAAGATTATATACTGTGGGATTATTTGGTAGCAAACTCAATCATGACAAAATTATAGTGACAGTACCCTCACAGTGATAAAATTGTGGTGGTGATAGAGAACAGATTAATGCTTTCCAAAGTTTGAGTTAGGGGAAATGAAAGAGTTTGTTACATGAATATACACATGCAATCAACGTCATAAAAATACACACTATGGAAAAAGTGCATATAAAGTCTCTGAGTTAATATTAATAGCATTTTTCCAATGATAATTTCCTAGTTTTGACAAAGTACCAGGATTGTGTAAAATACCAATGGAAGAAGCTGGATCAAAATGTCATCAAAATGCTCTACCTATTTTTGCAACTTTGAGTCAAAATATTTCAAAATAAAAAGTAATTAAAAGGTAAGAAAAAATATATATGCTGAGTTCTGACCCTGGAAACAGACTGAGAGGCTAAATACCTTACCTAATGTGTACAGTTGGTAAGTGGAGTTGCTAAATTCCAACACATATTCTTTCATGGTAGACAAGCAACTTTGAATAGGGAAAAGCTGATAAAAGCCTACATAACAGAAAGAATAATATATGATGCTTAGAACAAAGGAAAACTAATAGTCACTTACCCAGTATATCTTTATGAGTGTAAAAGCGTGTCTTGAACGGCTTGTAATCATGGATTCGTTTGAAGGTTTCTCCAAAAGGAGCTGGTGGAATTATTTTATTACAAAAAGCACAGCAAACAAAGTTTGTATAATCTGTATTTCTGATCATAGTTAAAATTTGAGATGTCTTCTATTATTTCCAGTTAAAATAATCTTAGGATCAGGAAAATTATTTTTAAGAGAAGCTAGAATTTTAAGAAAGCTGCAAGACATTCAGGGTTTTAGGATAAAGCTAGAGGCTGGTGAGGACTAAATGCTTTACCATGATTATGTAGTTATGTGCCTAATTTAAAGAATGGTACTAAAAGCCTCTGCCATACAAAGTATGGGCACTGGATTTGGGAGGATTTAAGTAGTTGCTCCCTTCCAGCCTTTAGCATAAACTGTTAACACACTTAGCAACTGTTGCCAGGTAAGACAAGCTTTGCTCATAAAAGCAACTTGAAATAATGACAAAAGGGAACATAATGCAGCCACTGATTTTCCAGATAGTTTCTGTATTAGTTTCCTGTTGCTGCTGGACTAAATTAACACAATCTTTATGGCTAAATACAACATAAATTTATTCTCTTGAATTCTGAAGGTCAGAGTCCAATATGAGTCTTTTAGGGACATTTCTGGTTCCTTCTGGAGGCATTAGGGGAGAATCTCTTTCCTTGATTTTTCTAGCTTCTGAAAGCCATCCACATTCCTTGGGTCCATGGCTTTGGATCATATTGCCTTTTTCCTCCAGCTTCCCTGGTGATATTGATTCCTCCTCTGATCTTCTGCCTCCCTCTAAGGACCTTGGAGATTACAATAGTCCCATTGAGGTAATCTAGGATGATTTCTGCATCTCAAAATTCAAAGCTTGATCACATCTGCAAAGTCCCTATATATAGTAACATATTCACAAAAGGCATCAGAGATTAGAATCTGGACATCATTGCAAAGGAGGAGAACAGTATTCAGCTGACCACACTTTGTTTAAAATTTTTTTTTAAAGAATGGATTTTTAGCTGGTTGTAGTGGCACACGTCTGTAATCCCAGTGGCCCAGGAAGCTGAGGCAGGAAAATTGTCAAGTTGAAAGCCAGTGTCAGCAAGACTCGACAGAGTCTAAATTAAAAAAATTTAAAAAGGGTGGGAATGTGACTTGGTGGTAAAGAGTCTTTGGGTTCAATCTCCAGTATCCAGCTCCCCCAAACAAAAAAGAATGAATTTCTTTCAAGACCAAGGTAGTTTCTTATTTTTTTCAGGTTATTTATAAAGGTGATGCTTTGGTGACCTGGCAATAAAACATAAATATCACAGTATATTAAAGGAAAAATTAGTCCATAAGTCAGTATTCAAAATGACTAAGCCTGGTTTTTAAAATAACCTAGCTAATTAATTTGTATCTATAATTTTAGAAAAACATTCTTAGAAATTCTGACTATTACAAACATCTGTGCAACCTGATTATACTAAGTGACTAAATTTTTAAAAGTTGTCCAACAAAGTAGTATACAGCATCTACCAGGCAGGACTGATCTTGAATTGATGTCATCCATGAAATTAATTTCAACAATAGAACTCCCATAGGACCCTGGTGAGAACTAAATGATTTACCCCGGACTAAGTTTGTCACAAAAGTTACAAAAGCAGGCTCTGCTCTGCTCCGAGTTCTCCATGATGTATAGAATAATAGTTTTCAAGCTGTGCTTAAGACTGTGTTCCTCCATTTTACTGTATGTGTTCTGGTCACTGGTGTGATCAATTGGTCACTCGGCTACCTCAGTCCTGGGGAATAGAGGCGTGGAGTCAACACACAGACACTGGGAGTTTAGTGAGAGCTGGTAGGTGACCATCGCAGTTGAGTCCAACCAGCTCGTTTAATGCGGAAGTGATTACAATTGATATAGAATGCATCTACCAATCATACATAAGAAAGCAGGTTATATAACACCTAGAAACCAATCATCTTATTATTAATGTAGCTGCACTATGAGGAAGCTCTAAATATTGCTTTGCAGTGGAAGGCAGATTGGAAGGATCATTTTCCCTAGGATAGGGGACCTTATGAGTTGGGGGTTTCATGCCCTGAAGCACCTAACTATCAGTTTCCTTGCCTTGTAACTTGGCAATGCCAACTTCAAGCACTGCGGATGTGGTTACTGACGGCTCACTAGAGCAGAGTGCCCCTGCAAGTATTCCTGTCAGGCCTGTATGAGCGTATGTTTTCCTAGCACCCTGAGCTGCTCAGAGCTGCTAGCTGCAAACTGAAAGTTATTCCAACATTTTATAAAGCAGTAGTTTGCTATAAACACTTCCATTTTGAATTTCAGTGCTAAGGTGGAATGACTTTACACCTTGTTTGTGTAAGTAAGCAACCACCATCTGCCCAGAACAACCACAAGACACAAATTGATATGTTAATTGTGCCAATAAAAATGACTACCTGTGAATTTTTAAAATTTATCAAAAGTACATAGATGCATAGGCTATTGAGCTCATATAGAAAAAAACAGGCCTATGAGATTATCAAACACAGCAGACCACTGAAGGATGAAACCTCACTTGAGACTCATAAAAACAGGAGCCCCCCGCAAAACTGAACATGATGGCACCCTGACCCTGTTACTTACTCATCATGAGCCTTGCTCAGGAAAATCACCAGAGTGAAGAAGGTCCAAAGCTCTGTGCTCTGGCTTTAGCAGAGTGTGGTTTCTCCTGCCTGTGTGGACCACGAATACTCCAAGCTTACATCTCAAACTGACACTGTGAAACTGCCTTCTTGAGACCTTGACATAGAATAAGTTCCTGTGCATTGACATGTATATGCCTTGAACAAGTTATTTGGCTGGTTCATTTTCTTATCTACCTATAGTAACTCTTTGCATTCATATCTTCTGCTTTGCCTTTGCTTTCAGTTCAGCTTCTGGCCTTAAAAAAAAAAAAATATATATATATATATACACACACACACACACACACACACATACACATATATATACATACATACATACACACACATACGTTTATATACACACATATATATACATATATGTATATACACACATATACATACATATATATGTAAATTATATAAAATTAAGACTGGGCCAGGCTCTATGGCACACGCCTGTAATCCCAGTGGCTGGGGAGGCTGAGACAGGAGGACCAGGAGTTCAAAGCCAGCCTCAGCAATGGTGAGGTGCTAAGCAACTCAGTGAGACCCTATCTCTAAATAAAATACAAAATAGGGCTAAGGATATGACTCAGTGGTAGAGTACCCCTGAATTCAATCCCTGGTACCACAAAAAAAAAAAAGGAAGAAAGAAAAAAATTAAGACTGGAATAAAAGAAGCTGGGATTGCCCAGTTTATGACTACCAGGTGATCCACAAGTGTTCAGTGATTTGCCACTGATGAAAGTGGTTTAGCCTGTGAATTTATAGTTATTCAATAAATTCTGACATTGTAGAAAGACACAAACCTGTTTGGTCTATGTTAATGGCATAGCTTGTTAAAGACAGTTCACTGTAATTCCTTTATTAATCATATTTATATTGACTTGTATGACCTGATAGTAACTTGCTGAAGACTTAAACTCTATCAAATGGTGCCAGGATTGACTTCAAGAAAATGGTTAATTGGGACTGGGAGAGGAATTTAAAAGGAGATGAATTCCTACCAAAAACTGAAACCACTATATCCACAAAGTTAATTGTCTGGATTGAGAATAGAGGTCACTTGTGTCAATTTGATTCTCTTATCTATTCCTGGAAATTCCTGCCCAGAAGGAAGAATAACCATTGGTTTTTATTGATCTGGAGCTGTCCCTGTTTTAAAGTTCTGCATCCCAAGAACCCCTCATTGCCTGGTAAACTAGAAGGATCTATCACCTTATAGAAGATAAAGTGGTAAAGCCAATAAATAACTTACTTCACTGTTTGCTTTAAGAAATTCTTAGAAACCAATTTACCAATTGAACACCTCACTAATTTGAGGCAACTAGTTTTCCTATCACAACAAAAGATTACTCCTTTGGGCAAAAAAGGCCACTTGCCCTTTATTAAAGAATAGTTTACTTACCAAGACTTGCTTCAAAACAAAACCTATGTCTGTTTTTCCCACTCAAGCAGATTACCACATTGTTCCCTGAACAAGTTATTTAAAAATAATATAGGTATATGTCTATCTCTCTGTATATACACACACACACACACACACACACACACACACACACACACACACATATATATCCCCTTGAACTCAGATTCCAAAGCACTGTAAATATCTTCCTCTATCTCAAATCCCATTCTTTTTTTTTTTAATTTTTTTTTATTGGTTGTTCACAACATTACAAAGCTCTTGACATATCATATTTCATACATTAGATTGAAGTGGGTTATGAACTCCCAATTTTACCC